GGGTGTTTGTGTTGACAATTGTCAGAGTTGAAGTTTGGTAATTAATAATAATAATAATAATGGTTGCCCCTCGTGTAACGAGGATAGCCGGCCCGAGGGCCACCTAGGCTCGAATTTCTTTTAAGGTGTAGAAGCTGTCGTCAACACAACCACACCCTGAGTTAACGAGTTACATGACCCAGCGTCAAGGAATAGTCCGAGAAGACCGGACAACTCGCCAACTGCACTGGCTAACCATTACCCCGGAACACGATCCATAAATCGATTAACATCCAGGTTTCCAATTACTGCTGGGTAGACAGAGGCAAATGGCGTAAAGAAACTTGTCCATAGTTTCATCCTGCCCGAGGATGGAACCCGGGTCTGCTCGCTTGCGAGGCGAACACGCTGAACATTACGCCACAGGTCGCAGGAGTGGTAATTCCTTCCGTCTGGTCCACACAGCCGATTAGACCTAACCTAACTCAACCCAACCCATGACCAAACTGATTAGTTAAACGTCTTTGGCTGATTCAATTTACTATTTATCATTGCTATCCTTACAGTGTCTATGTACCATTGTTCCTTGCGTGCACCATTGTTCCTCACGTGCACCATGCAGTCCTCGAGTGCACCATGCGTTCCTCACGTACGCCATGCAATCCTCACGTGCACCATGCAATCCTCTTGTGCACCATGCTTTCAGTAATATGTGATGGTGCCAGAACTGCCGTCCTCCTGTTTCCTTTTGTCCATAATTCTTAATCTTCCTCATCTTACACGTGATATGAGACTGAAGGTGAAGTAAGGCAAGAAATATCCCAACAGGTTATCGAAGTGAGTGTAAATGTCACTAGATTAAGTTTGTGTGTGTGTGACCAGACTTAGTTTTACAGGAAGAACAGCCAACCCCGGAAGGTCATTTTTGTTCAGTCGCGAGTATTATGTTTAATGTAGTTTCATTTTTTGTCGGTCTAGAGTCTAGATGAAAAAAGTAACACGTAGCAGGAACTGAGTGACGGCAGCACAGTACTGTGTTATTATACCGTAAGTAACGCAACCCATCGCCACAATTAGTTTCGTCTGTGTTTTTGTCTGTTTGTGTTTGTACTGTGCGTGTGTTTGTACTTGTATTTGTGTATGGTTGTGTATATTTGTAACAAGTATGTGTTTGTGTTTCTGTGTACCTGGTATAAGTGTGAGTGTTTGTTTTTAGAGTGTTACTTGGGCCCCTTGTACCTTTATAATTAAGCTTACATATTCTAATAAATAATTGATTAATCGTGTTGTCATAACTGCACTTAACTTCGTAGTTAAATTTTTCTTCGGTCATGATAAGTATTTCATTGAAGTTGCTTTTTTAATAGTTTGCTGTTGGCGAACTAATACACACTTGCTTTTCGTTTCTTTGTGGACAATGTTTTTTTTTTTTTATAGATTCTTGTGATGTTTGCTGAGATAACCGGAACGTTAACTAATAAAGAATAATAATAAGTGTTAGGATGTTCATGTTTGTCTCAGCCTTTGTGGTATAAACTAGAAACGTGAGGAGTGAGAGGTATCTAGCTACGATATCTTGGTTGTGATGGTGAACGTTTTTCCCGCCACAGTAGTACAGTACGTCATTGTTGACATCCGCTCCGTATTTTCAACATTTCCGTAGGTAAATAGAACGGTTTTGTATTATTTCACTGTAACGGTTTTGTGGTTACAGATTGTGTAATCCAATTAGTGATAGATATTGTTAGATCGAGTATATCGTGATGTGTGATTGGGACAAAAATTATTTAGTTTCTTGAGCTACGATGGGTACATTTTCTGTGACCTGTTAGGGAGGCTGTTTTCAGAGTGGTCTTATTAATGGTATTTATGAACAATGTGTGGTATTGGCAGTGTTTAGGTTGTGTGAAGGGTACCAAGAGCCCTCGAAAAAGAGAGAAGTAAGTTCAGTCAGCCAAATATTGTCTCGTCCACCACCCACACAGTTGTCATGTTACCCGTCAGTTTACAGAGGACTACTGTAGATCATCAGTCAGTAGAGGGGCTGGGGGGTTACGTGTGTTACTGTACAAAATTATGAATGTAAAACTTTGTAGTAAACCCGAATGAGAATTATACTCGTATCTTCGTTTATAAATTTGAATATTTGTATAATGCTTGTGATTTCCTAATGTTGCTGACTTAATATCACAAGAAGTGTTATCGAATTCCTGACAATAATTTAGTGTATAACATTACACTACTACGTGCTGTGTCGTGAAGGACGTGGGAATACTGTATACGTCAGCTGTAGCCGCAACCTTCACACAAGGTCCTCTCCCAGTGCTTTGTGTAATGACTCCATATTTGTAACACCCGTACGAATATATCTGATGACTTCATAAGGTTTCTCGTATCTTGTTAGTACACTATTACGCACGCTAGTCTTAGAATAAGTGCTATTGAGAAATTAAAGCGTCAGTGATTCTGCAGGCCAGGGTCAGTCAGTTCATTAATGATTATCCAGTACAGTACTAATAACCTTTCTATCTTATATTCACTTTACGTCTGATTTATTTTTTAATTTGCCTCAACTGAATGTAATAAAAGTATTACTGGGCATTAGTTTTATTACACTCAGGTGGTCACGTCGTCACTGCCCCGGGTCTGGTGGTGGTGTCTGCGGCGACCACTTGTGTAATGAGAGACTTACCTGGTTTAATATACTTACCGGTTAGTCATCACACGTCTCCTCCTCGTCAATTGTATTCTTATTTGTAAATCGTTACTTAACAGGGATTTGTTCAGAGGTAGGCATGTTAGTCTGGGTAGCTGGGAAGTTTAACCTTAACTTAGGCATCTCATGGCTATCCTTGGTCAATTCCATTCAATGTTTCCCATTGTTTGTATACATGCAGTGTCTGTGTACATTGTATACCTGCATTGTCCACATACATTGTATACCCACAATGTCTATATACTTGCTCAATCAATGTAAACTTGCATGACGATATTACTCATTAAATATCTATCTAAAGTGTACTAAATGCTGGAGAATTATTGACCATGACGCTACACGAGACAATATTGTTGTGAACGATCCATACATAATATGCTAGTGCCAGGGGGAAGGAGGTTCAGGGGAAGGATAAAGGGAGGATTGAAGTGAATTTTAGGAGGAGAGAATAGGTGCTTGATAACCCGTGTTGTTATATCTTGACGCGGCAGCCTGCAGGAGTCAACAAGCCCCGTACTCTGTGATCCCTCTTGGTATGTTTTAACAGTTTCTCTTCTCTTTCCATGTATAAAGCAATAGTTCTGAGTGTACCTTCCTCCAACATATTATGTATAATGTTACCTTCTTAGAATATGTGACTCGTACGTTTTCAATATCCAGGTGTTCGTCATCTGGTTGGTCTTGATTTCATTCACGGTTTTCTTTTCCCTCGTTGATCTTCTCTTTCTCTCACGTTTCCTTTGTACTCCTCTCACCTTCTCGCCCGCCTCAACCTCTCCCCAGAGCTCCTTGTCCTCATCCATAAGTGTTGTCGTTCTCGTCTGGCTCACTCACACACCTCCCTCACTCCCCCTTCCCCAAAATCATCCCCTGTGCCCTCACCCATCAAGTCTCCGTAAATGTTTAAGATTGATTCATCGGTCTGGGATTTCCAAGGCGACAGGTGACGTGCTTAACTCAGCCTTCACCACCAGAGAGAGGCGCCCAGTTTAAAACAGTCGGTGTGTGTGTGTTCCAAGGGGGTGTGTGTACTGTACCCTGGAGGAAAGCTAGCTGTCTTTAGGGTGTTATTGGGGATATTTTGTTGTTATTCCTCCTCCGTGTGTCTTGAATATGTGTCTGGCTGTGTGTTATTGTGCGTAATCTGAGACTCCCTTTCCTTCCCCCTAGTGAGAGACGGGAGGGGTGGGGGGGGTGTCGTATTGCCTTCTCCACCACCTACCTCTTCCACCTCCCTTTTTCCTCCCACCAAGATTCTCCTCTTTCCTCTCTACCTTCTTCGTCTCCTCATCCTCCTCCTTTCCCTCCAGTCTTTTCCTCCTCCTCTTCCTTCCTCTCTCCACTCCACCATCTAGTCTTTTCCTCTTCTTATCATCATCATCATCTTCTCCTCTACTCCTTTTCCTTCCTTATATCTATACTCCTCTCCATCTCAATTCTCTTCTCCACCTTCCTCCACCTTCTCCTCTTCTCCACCTTCCCCTCTTTCTCCACCTTCCTCTCCCACCTTCCTCCACCTTCCCTCCACCTTCCCCTCTTCTCCACCTTCCCCTCTTTTCTCCACCTTCCCCCCTCTTCTCCACCTTCCCTCTTTCTCCACCCTTCCTTTCTCTTCCACCTTCCCCTTTCTCCACCTTCCCCTCTTTCTCCACCTTCCTCCTCTTCTCCACCTTCCCCCTCCACCCTACATCTCTTTCCTCTTCTTCCTACCCTTCTTGTTTCCCTTACCTCCTCCTCCTTTTCCCCGTTCCCCTTCCTCCTCCTCCCACACCAACCCCCACAAACAAATACCAACCACTTCCCACACCCCACCTCTCCACACACGTACCAACCCCTCACCCCATACACAACCCCTGCCTCACACAACCCCCCACCCCCACACAACCCCCACCCCCCACACACAACCCCCCCTCACACAACCCCCACCCTCACACAAACCCTACCCCTGACACACCCCACCTCACATAACCCCCACCTCACATAACCCCACCCCCCACACAACCCCCACCCCTCACACAACCCCCAACCCTCACAACCCCCAACCCCTACCCTCACACACAACCCCTACCCCACACAATCCCCACCCCCTCACACATCCCCACCCCTCACCCCACCCCCACACCCTACCCAACCCCCACCTCACACAACCCCCACCCTCACACAACCCCCACCCCCCACACAACCCCCACCCCCTCACACACCCCCACCTCACACAACCCCCACCCCTCTCACACAAGGATTTTAGATTAGAGTAAATAACTAAACATTATGATGCAATTTACATATATGTACTAAACCTTTCTCCGTTATTGGTGTCTTCCCTTAACAGGCGTATGGTATAGTGTGGAAAGCCATTGACCGTCGGACGGGGGAGGTTGTGGCCGTCAAGAAGATTTTCGACGCTTTTAGGAACGAGACGGATGCCCAACGCACTTTCAGGGAGATCGTCTTCCTGCTGGAGTTCTCATCTCACCCGAACGTTATCCGCCTCTTGAATGTGTTGAGAGCTGATAATAACAAGGACATCTATCTGGTGTTTCAGTTTATGGGTGAGTTTTGATTGACTGGTTAATTTATTGGTTTGTTTTCGTTCTAATTCTTCTTCTTCTTCTTTTCCTTCTACTCCTTTTCCTTCTTCTCTCCTGTCTCTCCTCTGGTCCGCTCTCTATGACATTATTAATTGTAATTTCTGTAATGGTGTTTATTTATTCTACAGGAGAAAACTTATAATTACTGTATAAGTAACGAGGACATACAGAGTTGTTACACTAAACTACCAAGATGGTATCACTGCTTCTCTCTCTCTCTCCCGCTACACTTTAAGGTGACTGGTGCTGCTGAGAGTAACTTCCTGTTTGAGTGGGGCGGACACCTGTCACTTGGTTATGTCGGTTAGGAGGAGTTCGTGGGATGCTTTCACTGAAATACGTATCGGCACAAAATAATTTGGTAGGAGTAATTAACAGAAGACCCCACACCAGTGTAAGGAACTTTGTTGATAAATTATCGGAACTAATCTCTATCATAGGTTCAGAGAGGATCTGCAGAAATCAGTGACGAACACCTCAGTGATAAGCCCTTCTTCTTATCTGTCATTCTAAGCTCTTCTTCAACACAACCAAACTCAACAGAGTATATGCCACCTTTGCCACTGTGATAGTTCATAATCTGGTCTAACAACACTCCTGACAATGTTGTAAGTAGAATTATTTATAACAATATCTCAGATCACTTCCCTGTTTTTTGCCATGTATAAGAGCCAGAAGATCAGAAAGATCAAGTAAAGTCGCAATAAAATACAGAGACTACTGTGCCGACAACTTGCTCCTGTTCTACGCCTCTGACAGCCCTAACTTGATCTGCTGCAACTTCTGTATCTTCAATGACTCCTATGAAAAATGCTTTCCTGCTTCCACCTCATGACTAAGTTATAATGTTTCCACATAAAGCTGGTCCGTAAGCCACGCCCCTTGGCGCTTGTCTACCTCGTTATGCAGTCGGGCTAACTTGAAAGTATTGACACCTTCTCGTGTGGTACTCCTCCAAGTGTTACGATGTGGAGTAATCATTATCCAGGTGAGGGGGTCGATTTGGCACTGTTTCAGGTTTGTCTTAAGACTATCCTTATCTCTTTTCAGTTGCCCGCCAGCGTTACGTTTACTATTCGTTAGGTGACAGTAAAGTAACTGCTTTGGCAGTCTACTGTCGCCCATGTGGGTAACATGGCCAGTCCAGCGCAGTTGTTCATAGATTATGGTAGCCTTGATGTTTCTACATTCGATGTCAACAATAATACTGGCATTTGTTCTCTTGTCTTCCCAGCGAACTCGGAGGATGGAACGTAGACTACGTTGGTGAAAGTTTTCAAGTGCCTCGAGGTGCCTCCTGTATATGACCCCTGTCTCACTGCCATATAGCAGGGTGAGGAGGACCACTGCTCGATATATGTGTAACTTTGTAGATAATTTCAGCTCCCTACAGCTGAAGACATGATTTCGGAGTCTGCCAAAGGCTTGAGATGCACATATGATCTGATGGTGTCACCCGTATTATTAAACAACCTCTTCCCTTGAAGAGGGTCGTCGTGTTTCAACCGAGTTTTAAATTAACTAATTCCAATAATAATTTATAATATTGGAATTAGTTAATTTTACCGCCACACCACCCCGTTAATTACTGTACTGCGTTGTCCCTCAGGACTCATTTAGATTAAAACTCAGGTTGAAACACGACGACCCTCTTCAAGGGAAGATGTTGTTTAATAATACGGGTGTGAATCTCTTCACCGATGTCTGCGGTGGTGGACAGGTGGCAGCCGAGATACTGAAAGTGGGTAACATTAGAGAGAGTAGTACTGTTAAGCTGGATGGATGGTGATGGTGTGGCTGAACCAGGGGCAAGCTGAAAGAGAATCGGAGTCTTATGTACATTTACCTCAAAGCCGAAGTGTGCATGCGCATCTGCGTAGGTGTTCAGGATCTCCTGTAGGTCGCGTTCAGTGTGAGCGACAAGGGTGAGGTCGTCTGCATACTGAAGCTCAGTAATGGAAGCTCCCAACACCTTTGTTACTGCCTGGAGTCGTATTATGTTGAAAAGACCCTTCATCTGGTACTTGATGTCCACCCCGCCGGCTAAATTGGCAATGGCACGAGTAAGGAAGGCAGCCAAGAAAATGGAAAAGAGAGTTGGTGCTAGTATACACACCGTTGTTTAACCCCTGTTTTGTTTAGATGGGGAAGAACTCAGACTGGGTGCTATTGTGCAGGACACTGCCGTTCATGCCATCGTGGAGTTGCCTCACAATGGCGATGAATTTTGGTGGGCAGCCTTGGTTAGGTCAATGAAAGCCATGTACAAGTCACGACGCTGTTCTCTGCACTTTTCCTGTATCTGACGGGCAGCAAAGATCGTGTCAGTAGTGCCATGTGAGATTCTGGGAGGAAGTTTTCCGCCTCACGAAGTCTGTTTAGGAGGACTCGGGCGATAATCTTGCCAGCTACAGACAGCGCAGTGAGATCCTGTGGTAGTTGCCACAGTCTGACCGGTCTCCCTTGTTCTTATAAATATTGACAAAAGGCTTGGGGGATTTCCTCCATTCCCATATACAGTATTCTCCAGGAGAGAGTGGAGATGTCTGGTAAGCAGAGGTCTTTCTGCTTTTTACACTTCGGCTGGGATTCCATCCGACCCTGAGGCTTTGTTATTTTTCATCTGTTTGATGGCAGTAGCTTCCTCATCCGGGGATGGAGGATAGCTGAGGTGGGTCAGCTCCGGATGCTGAGGGACCTGCTTGGTAATCAGGGCATCCACATCGGTGCTTCGGTTGAGCAGTGAATGGTAGTGCTCTTTCCATCGCTGAAGGAGGTCTTCATCGTCTTTGATTAGGGAGTTACCATTGGATGAGCGGAGGGGGCTGTGCCACGAGTGATTGGCCCATAAAATATTTTAGTGGAATTGAAAAATTTGCGCATCTTGTGCTGATCTGTAAATTTTTGTGTTTCACATGCTTTATACCAGTCGTTCTTTAGGTTGCGAAGTTCCCGCTGGGCCGCCGCTTTCTTCTTGCGGAAGGTATCAGCTTTGGTCCGAGACTGAGGATTGTTCTGTCAGTAAGTTGAAGCAGCACATTTATCATCGACGAGTACATTGTTTGCCGGGTTATTTTCATAAAACCAGTCCTGGTGTATTCTTTTGATCTGGCCGAGGGTCTTTGCAGGTTTTTGTCATGACAGTGTAGAGAATATCCCATTTGTCATTGGGATTTTGGTTGTTTGTTGTCAGGTTGTTATCAGCCCATGTTTGAGCTGCTCTCTGAAAGCATGTGCTCCCACTGGATCCTCCAGATGCTTAGTGTTAAAACCTCTTCTGGGGGATTGTTGCCTTCACCGTTTTGGGGTGAATATGAAGTGAAAGCTTGGCCATGACGAGCCGATGATCAGTGTCACAGTGGTCTGAGCCACGCATGGCACGGGTGATGAGGACATCTCAGCGCTCTCTTTCTCTGACAATGATGTAGTCAATGAGATGCCAGTGTTTGGATCGTGGGTGTTGCCAGAAACCCTTGAACTTGTCTGCCTGTCTAAACAAGGTATTGGTGACAGTGAGGTTGTGTGCAGCACACTTGCCGAGGAGGAGTAGGCCGTTGGGATTACACTTAGCTTGTCCATTTCTGCCGATGGTTCCCTGCCAAATGTCAGCGTCTCTGTGCTCCTTGGTGACTTCAATGCCAGAGTTGGCAACCTTATCTTCTCTGGGATATAAGAAGGGCGGGGCCTACGGGTCAGTTTAGTGTGGAAAGGGTATGGTAAAAAGTATATGTATTTCCAAGCCCTGTATCACAAGTGAAATTAAAGCAATGATAAAAGAAAAACACAAACTCCAGAGAAATTTTGCAAGAGGATCCAGGTGATGCTTATTGAAGTATCCAACATAGAGTAACACAAGCAGTTAGAAATGCCAGATATAGCAATTATACAAATAAGCTAGAGTCAACATCGGGCCACAGTAAGAAAACCTGGAGTATCATCAATTGTATTTAGAACAGGAACATTCAACCTATGGCCCCCCACTCAGCTTCTATGATAAATGATACAGTTGTAATGGAAGCCTACCTGCAAAACCGACAACAAAATGAGTTGTTTTTGTCCATCAAAAATATCCAAGGATGAAGCAGTAGGTGAAGACAATATGCACCAATGAACATCATTAAGAAAGTCGCCCACCTATTACTACCTGTTCTCTTACACATTTGTAACTCCTTCTCTTGTGATGTCTTTTCTGATAAACTGAAACTTGCTAAAGTTCTCCTAGCACAGGCATGGGCAACCTTTCCTTAGTCATGGGCAACCTTTCCTCAGTCATGGGCAACCTTTCCTCAGTCATGGGCTGCATGATGATTTAGGCTTTTTTTCAGCGGGTCAACGCACCAAAATTTATATCCTACATAACCCAAAAGTAATGTTAAGATTGTTACCATTAGCACGGACAGTGAAACAGTTTATTGTCACGTCGGGTGGATCCAGGAATATTAAAAGGGGGAGTCCAAGAAGTTGTGGGTGGGAGAACATGATGAGCACAAAGAGCCCACCCAGCTGGGGGGAGGGGTTGGGGTGTGCTGTAAGGCCCCTCCCCCCACCCCCCACACACCCAGCTGGGGGGAGGGGTTGGGGTGTGCTGTAAGGTCCCTCCCCCCACCCCCCACACACCCAGCTGGGGGGAGGGGTTGGGGTGTGCTGTAAGGCCCCTCCCCCCACCCCCCACACACCCGGCTGGGGGGAGGGGTTGGGGTGTGCCAAGGCCCCACCCCCACACACCCAGCTGGGGAGGGGTTGGGTGTGCTGTAAGGTTCACCCCCACCCCCACACACCCAGCTGGGAGGGGCTACCCCCACACACCCAGCTGGGGGAGGGGCTGGGGTGTGCTGCAGTTCTCCCACCCCCCACACACACCCAGCTGGTGGGAGGGGTTAGGGTGTGCTGTAAGGCCCCTCCCCCCACCCCCCACACACCCAGCTGGGGGGAGGGGTTGGGGTGTGCTGTAAGGCCCCTCCCCCCACCCCCCACACACCCAGCTGGGGGGAGGGGTTGGGGTGTGCTGTAAGGCCACCCCCCCCCACACACAATTTTTTTTTAAATCTGACCGATATCATGGACATTTTGAGGCCATGTGCACTTGATATTAGGAGATAATCTGAGGTCAATAGTACTAACTTAACTTAACCTAACCTACATGCAATGCCATCATATATACAGCATATTGTGTTGTCAATGTGTACAAGTCATGTGACTTTTTTTCTCATAAGTGGACCATACAGTATATTGTAAGTGTCAATTCCCTACAAATTTAAAAGGGTTTTGTGGAGTGTGAAAAATAAAATGTATAAATAATGTGTGTTTGCAAATATAAGTGTTTTATTTTATATATGAGACTGGGGTTGTGTCCACTATTCACATAATGGGTTGGGGTTTTGTCCACTGGGGTTTTGTCCACTGGGGTTTTGTCCACTGGGGTTTTGTCCGTATACCTCTAAAAATATTGTGTTTGTAATGACTGTACGTATATATTTTGTATTTATTTTACTTATTATTAAATTTTTTTTTGGGGGGTGGGGGGTAATTGACAGTTAGTTGAGTTTGTGTCGTATTATGTAGTGCAAGTCAGGTTTTGCTGGTATGTCTTTTGTCCTTGACCTGGATGTAGGCTGGAGACCACATGTCTGGCTTTCCCTCCATGATTGGATTGTTTCCTTGGCATGAGAGGGAGATGACATGGGGGGAGGAGGGGGGGGGGCTCAGGTAGCTCTCTCTAATTATGCTGATTGTGAGTCCTTGTGATGGTATTACCGGTGTGTCCAACTTGGCTCAGAGACTTGACGTATTCTGGGTTACAAATTCGGTCGGTTTCAGTCGATCGGAGTTCTCTCAAGCAGCTTCAGAAAGTAGAATATTATGTAACAATGGAGATCTTACAAGGTGAATTTTGTTAATGGTGGGATATTCTTTTACAGAGACCGACCTTCACAATGTTATCAAGAAAGGCAATGTTTTAGAAGACATCCACCGACGTTATATCATGTACCAGTTGTTCCGGGCTGCTCGCTACCTTCACTCGGGCTCTGTCATACATAGAGACCTAAAGGTAAGTCACATGATAGTTAGTTAGACATACTGCCATAGTGAACATTATATACTGAGGTAGATGGTTGGGCTTACTGTTGGAGGAGGAGGGTAGGTGTTGGAGGAGGAGGGTAGGTGGTGGAGGAGGAGGGTAGGTGGTGGAGGAGGAGGGTAGGTGTTGGAGGAGGAGGGTAGGTGTTGGAGGTAGAATAGCACAGGGGTAAGTGGTGGATTGGTGATGGAGGAAAATGTTTCCCTCACACCACCCTGTTCTCCTCTCTCTTCTTAGTACTTCTGTATCCAGTTCTCCACAGTTCTCCAACCTGAACCTGTCCCCCTCCTACACAACACCTCACTAATACTCTCAGTAACCAGCTTCAACATTGCAATATACCAGTTGGCTTTCAATACCATGCAACATAAGATATTTTGTCATACAGTACAGTACTTTTGTGTTAAATTAGATAAATCTTGATATGTAGGCTGTACTGAAACGTGTTTTTACCCTTTATTTTTTATATAATTTATTAAGATGTGTTAGGTGGTTCTGGACTGCATCTTGAAGTAGTACCTTGAATGTATAAATTGTAAATTTTCAGTGTTTGAGTTTTGTTTCTTAATTATGCTTTTTTTTTCCAGCCATCGAACCTTTTACTGGACAGTGATTGCCGTGTTAAGGTTGCAGACTTTGGATTGGCTCGCTCTGTGGAGCCGTGTGCACTTGTAGAACCACAAGGTGACCCTACACTGACAAATTATGTTGCCACAAGATGGTATCGAGCTCCTGAAATTTTATTGAATTCAAAAAGGTTAGTTTTGTCAGAAGTAATGTTGTACTCCTAGTGTACATTCTTATTCTTAGCTTGTTATTAAACTAAAGTGCTTGAAAAGTTTATTTAGAAGGATGTTTAATTTTTATCCTAATAACATTGGGGCATATTGCGGAAGAGGAGACCAACATTGGAACCCAACGACTACACCAGCAGACAAAGGCAATGCATGATGGACAGGCTACTAAGGTGTAAGGTGTAACCCAACAAACCAGACTATTGGCAGTCCATTGCAGCTCTCCCTCTCCCCAGTCGTTGCAACACTTGCACCACCGGATCAGGAAAAGGGAGAGCCAAGATGTGTGGTTGCAGCCTGCACTCCTGCCTCACCACATAAATCAACTCACATACAGCCATCACCCAGTTCATCATATTCCTCATCAAAACCCCTATACCCCCAAAAGTCCTATGGTGACGGACGAGTGGCGACGGGGACAGGCAGAGATGACTGCTAGGAGTCTCTAGTCACGACTCTGCACATGGGCGGCACAGATAAAATGGTCGTTTATGCACTGGGATCAAGGCAACAGTGCAATCCAGTTCTGTCTGTGTGACTGAGCAGCCCTTTTGAGGACCCACTCTGCTCACCCCACATGGGGAGGGGGCTAGAAAAGGTACCCTAAGCATAGCTTGCCTAAAGAACCAACCTGACTGGGTAACCACACCCAGTAAGGTCATCCTTATGCAGTTGAAAACACAATCATGATCACAGATCAAAACAAAATCAAACTATACAACCTCTTATGGTCTCTGCATGGAATATCAGGACCCTTCTAGATACTGGCACAAATGAGTGTCATGAGAGAAGAACTGCCCTTGTGACAAAAGAGCTGGGTAGGTATAACACTGACATAGCAGCCATTAGTGAGTCCCGGCTCCCAGACCAAGGTCGACTTAGAGAACGGGGGTCTGGCTATACCTTCTTCTGGAAGGGTAAGCCTGCTGCAGAGAGAAACCGCATTTATGGAGTTGGCTTTGCCATCTGCCAATGCATCCTACACAAGCTAACTGAAATGCCTGTTGGGATGAACGAGCGCCTCATGATGCTCCGAGTCCCACTGAATCACTCGTCACACCTTTTTCATCAGTGCATATGCCCCAACACTGGATGCAGAGGATGACATCAAGGAGGCCTTTCACACCGACCTTGACTCAGTGCTAACCTCTATCCCCAGGAAAGATAAGGTTATGCTTCTAGGTGACTTCAATGCCAGAGTTGGCAGAGATGCTGACATTTGGCAGGGAACCATAGGGAGAAATGGACTAGGTAAGTGTAATCACAATGGCCTACTCCTCCTCAACAAGTGTGCTGCACACAACCTCACTGTCACCAAAACCTTGTTTAGACAGGCCGACAAGTTCAAGGGTTCGTGGCAACACCCACAATCCAAACACTGGCATCTCATTGACTACATCATTTTCAGAGAAAGAGACTGCCGAGATGTCCTCATCACCCGTGCAATGCGTGACTCAGACCACTGCAACACTGATCATTAGCGTCAGAGCCAGGCTCTTACTTCACGTCGCCCCAAAACGGTGAAGGCAACAATCCCCCAGAAGAGGTTTTAACACAAAGCATCTGGAGGATCCAGCGGTAGCACATGCTTTCAGAGAGCAGCTCAAACATGGGCTGATAACAACCCGACAACAAACAACCAAAATCCCAGTGACAAATGGGATAGTCTCTACACTGTCATGACAAAAACCTGCAGAGATCCTCGGCCAGATCAAAAGAATACACCAGGACTGGTTTGATGAAAATTACCCGCCAATCAGTGTACTTGTTGATGATAAATGTGCTGCTTTAACCAAAGCTGATACCTTCCGCAAGAAGAAATTGGCAGCTAGTGCGATCTTCACAATTTAAAGAATGACTGGTTTAAAAATAAAACATGAAAAACACCAAAAACGTGCAGATGAGCACAGGATGCGTGGATTTTTCATTTCCACTGAAACATTTTATGGGCCAGTCATTCATAGCACAGCCCCCTCTGCTCATCCAATGTTAACTCCCTAATTAAAAACAAAGAAAGGCATCCTTTAGTTCTGGAAAGAGCACTACCATTCACTGTTCAACCGAAGCACTGATGTGTATGTCCTGACTATCCAGCAGGTCCCTCAGAATCCAGAGCTGACCCACCTCAGCTATCCTCCATCCCAGGATGAGGTAGCTACTGCCATCAAACAGATGAAAAATAACAGCCTCAGGGACTGATGGAATCCCAGCCGAGGTGTATAAAGCAGGAGGACCTCTGCTTACCAGCCGTCTCCACTCTCCTGGAGAATATATGGGAAAAGGAGAATATCCCCCAAGCTCTTAAAGATGCCCCCAACATCAATATTTATAAGAACAAGGGAGACCAGTCAGATTGAGGCAACTACCACGGGATCTCGCTGCTGGCAAGATTATTGCCTTAGTCCTAAACAGATTTCTTCATGAGGCAGAAATCTTCCTCCCAGAATCTCAATGTGGCTTTAGACCAGGGGTGGGCAATTATTTTTGATGGAGGGCCACTTCATGAATGGTGGCACACTTCGCGGGCCACAGGTTAACAGCGACGAGCCAGTATTGCTGCTATGTCCACCCAACTTCCAAAATTGTCCTTTCTGTAATTAATAAGAATTTTTTTTTCTGATTGCCAAATGCAGTGGCTAATTTGGCGGGCCAAATACTTTGCCCAGCTTTAGACCATCACGTGGCACCAGTGACATGACCTTTGCTGCCAACCTGATACAGAAAAAGTGCAGAGAACAGCGTCGTGACCTGTACATGTCTTCGTCTTCGTCTCAGTCAACAGAGAAGCCCTCTGGCGGACCCTCAGCTGTTTTGGCTGCCCACCAAAATCCATCGCCATTGTGAGGCAATTCCACGAAGGCATGAACTGCAGTGTACTGCACAATGGCACCCGGTCTGAGTTCTTTCCAATCCAATCCGGGGGCAAAACAAGGGTGTCTACTGGCACCAACTCTCTTTTCCATTTTCTTGACTGCCTTCCTTACTTGTGCCAGTGCTAATTTTGCCGGCGGGGTGGACATCCAGTACCAGATGAAGGGTCTTTTCAACATAAGACGACTCTAGGCAGGAACAAAGGTGTCAGCAACTTCCATTACTGAACTTCAGTATGTAGACGACCTCATCCTTGTCACTCACACTGAGCGCGACCTACAGGAGATCCTGAATATCTACGCAGATGCGTATGCACACTTTTGACTTGAGGTGAATATACGTAAGACTCAGATTCTCTTTCAGCCTGTCCCTAGTTCAGCCACACCTCCACCATTCATCCAGCTTAATGGCACTACCCTCTCTAATGTTACCCCAAGTTCTGTATCCTCGCTCCCACCTGTCCACCATTGCGGACATTGATGAAGAGATTCAACATCGGATCAGATGTGCATCTCAAGCCTTTGGCAGACTCCGTACCCGTGTCTTCAGCTGTAATGAGCTGAAATTATCTACAAAGTTGCACGTATATCGAGCAGTGGTCCTCTCCACCCTGCTATATGGCAGTGAGACATGGGTCACATACAGGAGGCACCTCAAGGCATTCAAAACTTTCACCAACGTAGTCTACATTCCATCCTCTGAGTTCGCTGGGAAGACGAGAACAAATGCCAGTATTCTCGCTGACACCAACTGTAGGAGTATTGAGGCTACCTTTATCCCTGAACAACTATGCTGGACTGGCCATGTTACCCGCATGGACGACAGTAGACTGCCAAAGCAGCTACTTAACAGTCACCTAACGAATAGTAAACGTAACGCTGGCGGGCAACTGAAAAGGTTTAAGGATAGTCTTAAGACAAACATGAAAAAGTGCCAAATCGACCCCTCACCTGGGAGACGATAACTCCACACAGTAATGCTTGGAGGAGCACCACACGAGGTGTCAATACTTTCGAGTTAGCCCGACTGGAAACCGAGGCAGACAAGTGCCAACGCCGGAAAGACGCTGCTGTCGCCCCTCCCGCACTAAATGTAGCCTTACACATGTGCAACATCTGTGAACGACTCTGCCAGTCCCATATCGGCCTCTTTAGTCACCTCAGAATTCACCAGCGTAGGTGAAATCCTTAATAACTCGTATCATTGTACCATAGCTGGATGATCGTCATACTCGATTTCGAGTGACAACAAAGTAGTAGTAGTAGTAGTAGACTAGCACAGGGTTTTTTTTTTTAAGACAAAAAAACAAATACTGTATTTATTACTGAGACGACAGATTGCTAAGGAAATATTATATATGAGGTGTACAGTACATAGAGTACAATGTTTTTTCCTAAAAATTCCTACTTGTCTGTACTGTATATGTAAATGATCATATAGATAATGATAATACAAATAAACTATATATGGCATCATTACTAATCTGTTTTATAATAAGTTATAATATTTTGTTTTATTTTTTAAAGCACAAGTTCCTTTTAGAGAGAAAGTTTACTACAGTTTACAGATATGTTTGAGACCAACAAAACAAATAGAAGTATTAAATTATTACAGCTGCTAAAACAACAGCTTTTAAAATATAAACCAATGATCAGTTACAAGACGACAGTACAATGGAGGGATCCTTTACCCCATTGTTGGTCAGTCCGGTATTTCCCACCATGTGAGTTGCACCCAGTACTAGACTATAATCCAGACTCCCACATATGACAGTACAGTACAGTACAGTACAGTACAATACAGTGTATATGATCATAACTTATTGAATACAGAAAACAGGTAAAATAAATGCAAATATTAAAGCCCACAGTGGATGAAACCATGGAGTGGGTTGTCACAATATAACACAAATCTGACTACATGTGTGAAACTATTTGTGACACTCGTCTGCCCAACATGAAGGCAACCCACCTACAGCACGTGTGAGTTGTTGCGAGTTGTCCCGTGGCTTTCATTTTAAATTCGAGCAGCACTGAGCCTCACGTGACCTCTCACCCACAAAGCCAGCCCTCTCCTTCTGGCTAAATATTTTATTTAAATATCTTAATATCTTTGTGGGTGTGTATTGACAATAGTAATTTAGAAAATGTATAACGTGATTACCCCGGTACTTTTTTAATGAAATTTAATGAAGGCAAACATGTAGGGTGATAATAGAGAGAAAACACAGTGATGAGCATCTCCTTTTGTGGATGAGTACAGTACAATACCAAGGTCTTTATTTAAAATGTTGTTTTATTTTATCTTTAATTTGTTTTGTACAGTTATCCCAATTTGTGACAAAATATATTTCTGTTTTGTAATAAGTCATTTCTTCGGCAGATATACCTTAGGGGTGGACATGTGGAGCCTTGGTTGTATTCTGGGTGAGATGTTGCTCGGTAAACCAATGTTTCCTGGTTCATCAACACTTGATCAGATTGAGAGAATTATGTCAGTTATTTCTCCACCGTGTAGAGAAGGTAAATGTTGTTAAGTTTTAATAACCCTCACCTGTGGTGTGTAAGCCTCAGGTACCCATGGAAGTGTTATAGTACCATAGAAGAATTACTGCAGGTACTGTAGATGGTCAGAAAGGGTGACTTCTCCACCTATTTACATAGGAAAATGCCAATCACTTGGTAAAAATCAGTATCTGGCATCTTTCTCAGCTAGCTAACCACAGAAGACCTTCGTCACGAGTCAGTTACCCATCTAACATGAGAGAGTGAGGTACGATCATGAGTTGCTCTCACACCACCCTAGCAGCCCATATCTCAGAATGAGTTTTTCTAATCTTCAAATCCCTAAGGCTCTGCCATTTATGGGCTGATTCTAATAAAAGAAAAACTAAGAACTGTCATAGAATAACATATTGTGCATGGCTGAACATTTAGATTTTCTTTATTTTTGGCTTGGTTTATTATTTGCTAAGGCAGTAATCAGAAATACCTATGTCAGGTTCAAGAGGAGTAAATTGCCTATAATACACATGAATTTCATCATAATCTAGTAAGAAGTTATGGAGAACTAGGACTTTGAAAATTTATAAGGATATAAGGGAAAAATCAGGTATTAGCCAGAACCGATTCAGGGGTATAATAACAATGTCTTTAATTGGTGACAGGAAATTGATGTTGATTGATCAATTATTAACGAATTTCGTGCTTCAGCTGGACGCTCCCCTTAATCTATTTCATAATATATTCCTATAATAATAATCAACTTTTAGGAACTGCTTAGTTATAGGTAAAATTCTTAACATAATTTGTCACAACACACCAGATTCACACCAACAAGTGGCCTTGACCACCACAACAGCTGACGCTATGAACAGTGTTACCAATTCTGAAACTGAATTCCCGGCAGTTACCAACTCCTATGAGGAATAAGATAATATATTATATACCAGTAAATGTGAGGATTAAATTGAATTAATAAGAATACTGTAAATAAGATAATAAAAAAAGATTTCTTCCCATTTGGCTGCTGGACAATGAAATTTATCAATTGTTTGACTACACACAATAGACAGCAAAGATCCCTCACTCCACCTTCCTACATGTAGTGTGAACTCTTAACAGACAAAGAAAGTTTATTTCCTTTTATCCTTTTTACTTCATGATAAGTTTGTTTTTGCCCATTATTTATGTAAGATTGTGTGTGCATGTAAATGAGTAGAAAGACAATAAAGTCATGTACAGTACATCTACCTGAAAATAAGAGTTCAAAAATAACCATAACACCTCACAGCCCGGTAAGGTTGGCCTATTGTTCACCATAAATGTGCGGTAAATTTGTAATTCTACCGCCGTTAAACTGTCTGGACCATCAGAGGTTCTGGAGCAGTGACTGCCGCCAAATCGGTGATCTACCTGTAATTATAAAACATTTGGTAATGGCACAGTTCAGTCACATTAATTATGCATTTAACAAACAAAATCTCTTACCAAATATTACTTGTTTGTTTTAGAGTTGATCTTTATGAACAGATTTAATTCTCCCAATCTTGTATTTCTTATTACACTGTATTTAATTAAATTAAACTCATAAGTAGGGATGACTTTGTTTACACTGAGATGCCATTTATTTTTGGCTGGAGATAACTTAACACAGTCAGCTCACCCACTCAATTATACTGGTCTTTAAAATCTTGTATAAATCTCTATAAACTAATAATAAGAATGAGTTGGCTAAATTATTTGTCATTTTTCATGTTGCAAAACATGACTGTAAATGTTACCAGAGGAAGTTTACAGTATACGTATCTACATACCTGGAACTTGTAACAGTGGCTGGCCGTCACACTTCATCCTGATATTGCTGTAGACAATGTCCACTTTAGATATAGTTTAGTGCATGTATTTTATTATTATTGACAGACTCGCTTTCACTTCCATAATACAGTATTAGGTATTGCCTTGTGTGTGTGCAAAGCTTCATCAAACCTCTATTTAAAATACTTTGACTTCTATTAAGACAGGTGATGTGGCAGTTTTCAAATTAGTGGGGATTAGTGGTTTTGAGTTTTGAGTCAGTTTTATAATTTATTGTTTGTTGTATAACCTAACCATATGTATTATATTGAACTGTGTGAAGTATTTATTTTGAATAAAGTTCATATATTGTGGAGCCCATGATGTTTTGGCCAGCAATGACAAATGTGCACATGAATCTTAGGTGTAGGACCTTGTTCATGTGTAGAGACAACAGTACAGTATTGTGATCACTAAAATGTCTCGTATCCATTCATTCCTTTGGTGTGAATTGTATATGTACAGTTGGTTCTTCTCCTTTGTTTACTACTTATTGTTTCAAATCCTCTCTCTCCCTGAGGTGTGAAATCCAAACTCTGAAGTGTGAATTTGAAGCATTCGCCAGTGAGTTAATGCTCGCATTTTGTCGCAACTGAACTATGTGGCTCGCTGATTTTATACTGGACTGCTGCCAACTCAGCCACAGTATTTTTGTTCACATCAAGTTTTTATTACAATAAGTATATGATGCCCACTTCCTGATTGGTTTTGATTGTTAATTATCTATTTTATTCGGGCTACCGCCAGACGATTTTTTCAACTGCATGATTCAAACATATCCATAATCCATTTGCTCATAAATGTCCCCTTTAGCAAAGGAACACCTTACTTAAAACATGTATTCATTCTCCTCATCCTATTGTAACTATTATCATCTGGCTAGCACTTGACAATCACTTTCAGCTGAGGAAACCCCTTTGGTATTGTTGAAGAGTTACCCTGCATTGTAATCTCTCCCAACTGATATACTGTACAATTTTCCTCCTCCTCAGGGAGCTCCACCTGAATATACCTACCCCGACACACCCCTCCTTTCTCCTTCCCAATTCGAATTCACACTAAAGAGTTCAGGAGTGGAGCCAACTGCACCTCCTATGCTCACTGTCATTGATTCCCTTCCAGGGAAACCCAAGTTCACCCAAAGTTTTATAGTTGGGGTAGTGAAGGCAGTCAAGTGTAGCTCTGGCAACACTGCTTCCTTTTATACTGTAGAGCATAGTACTGCCCCTAATGGGCTACCAAGCCTTTGGGATCAGCTCTCTCATTGTATATATGAACTTTTTATAAATGGCTGCTTAGTTTATTTTTGTCTCTTCTGCAGATCTTCACCTCGTTTCCTCACAGTACGCCTCTACGCTTCTTAGTAAACCTCATGGAGGACGAACTCCTAAACCCCTTAAAGATATACTGGCAGGTGCACCAAATGATGCCATAGACTTAATTGAAAAGTTGCTGGTGTTTAGTCCTGACAAAAGACTTACAGCTGAACAGGCTCTCAAACACCCATATGTTGCAAGGTAAGAGGAAGTTTTTCTTAATTTGTGTACAGGTGCTCCTCTACTTATGAGCATTCAACTTACAAACTTTCAGAGTTACAAACATCATCACTGAGGGGGGGTTACCTGCCAGAACAGGTGTTTAATGTGGATGAGACTGGATTATTTTGAAGAAAATTCCAGATAGAACAAACATTTCCTTAGAGGAGAAGAGTGAGCCAGGTTTTAAGACTGTATTAAAGGGTATAGCTGTACTAAATATCCATAATCTTTTCATTTTTTACAATATGTTTGGTATCTACAAGAGTAAAGTTGGACTTACAAACAAGCCTCGGGAACATAAATCATTCGTAAGTGGAGGAGCACCTGTACTTACACTCTTGCCAACACCTTGGTACATGTATAATACTAATACTAATGATAATAATAATAATAATAATAATAATAATAATAATAATAATAATAATAATAAAAATAATAATAAATGACCATAAATAAAAGCAAAAATTAAAAAAATATCAATAATGTAATGAGAAACAATATACTGTATATATGTTGTGTTGTCAGTTGTAAGAGAAACAATTGAGACCCTGCAATTGTGTGTAAATGAGGCAGACAGTCAGGTCAGCAACCTAGGACTTGGTCACAATTTTTGTGATGCCATATGGCAGCAGGGTCTACCATTAGACAATACATTATGCTTCCAATATCTTCCCTGGTGGTAGTACCTCCCTAACTTCAAAATAGTATTTCCCCATCTTTTTTTTCTTCTTCTAATATAATCTTTTATTTATCTTTAAATTTAAGAACCCCAAAATATTATTTTAGCTGAAATGTGACTACTGTACAAGAGTATGACATGACAATTAAAGATAATAATGAGATTTTATAGTATAGTAATTATCTTCTAATCTGTGACTATTGGCATGTAAGACACATGGTAATTTGGGGTGAAATTTTTGAAAGAAAGACATTTTATATGGTGAGAAGTACAGTACAGGAGCTCCTCTACTTACTTACGTATTACGTTCCTGAGGCTTGATCGTGTGTCCAACTTGACTCCTGTATTTTTTACTTTTACTTTTATCCTGTTTGCCACTGATTGGTTCGTTAGCCGCTTGGACTGTTGGTCACGTCTCTTGTTACGCACTGTTGGCAAGTACTGGGCATGCACTGGCTCCTGAATGTATCTGAACCTGCTCCAGTGCTGGTCAAGTGTGGTCTTGAAAGAGCTCACACATGGAGATACCGAACATATTGTGAAAAAAATACCAATAAATAAAGGGTGTACAGTACAGCTTAAAAACCTGACATATTTTTCTCGTCTTTGACATTATTTGATCCTATCAGGCATTTCTTCCAATATAATCCAGTCTCATCCACATTAAACACCTACTCTGGCAGGTAACCCCCTCAACGATGATACAGTATTTGTATCTCTAAAATGTTGGTAAGTAGTGGAGCACCTGTGACTAAAATCTTCCCTCCAAAGTGTCATGTGCACTTCAGCTGTTTAGTACAGTACATCATGTCATTATTTCAGTCACCCATATGCTACTGTGTCAAACTAGCTGCCTGTAAGTGGATTTTTTTTCACAAGGAACTAAACTTGGGGAACATAATGCCAGCAGTAATTTAAATGTACCTGTGACAATATCTTAATATTTGAACTTCTATATTCCAACACCATTGTGTAGAACTATCTTACTGTCATATTCATTTTCATTCAATCTTTCCTTTTGTTGCTTGGAGTAATGATCACTACTATTTTTGGATTAGAGTAGATTTAGGAGCAAAACTATTTTAATTCCATGTTATATACTGTATAGCACCACATTTCCTAGTGATAATTATTTCCTCTTCTAGATTTCATAATGCTGCTAATGAGCCGTGTTTGGAACATGCAGTGGTGCCTTGTATTCGTGACGACGTGCAGCTTAGTGTCGACATCTACCGCAATAAACTGTATGAACTCATAGCCTCTCGTAAGACTCGATTAAAGAATCCATCCAGCAGTGACCGGGCCAATGGTATTAGCAGTTCGAGAAGCAACACAAATCAAGCAAGTGTTGGTCACAATCACTCCAAAGATCACAGCAGCTCACAATCTAAGTGTAATAACCAAAATACTTCAAATTCTCATATTGCAAACAACATCAGTCCAATAAGAGGCACACAAACCTTACAATCAAACCAGCCAATAAAAGTGAAAGTCGTGGCTCGTAAGGTAGATAGACAGTTGGTTGCTAGTGTAGATGAATGTGTTCGCCAGTCCTCTAAAGATAGTGATAAGTCATCAGCCAAGTCATCAGCCAAGTCATCTGCCAAGTCATCAAGTAGCTCTAGTCCAGCCAGTAATGGCCGTCGCAAGTCTATATCTCCTGTAATATCCCGACCCACAGAGTTAACTCCAGAGAAAAGACGTGAACGAATTTACCATCAGCATCCAACAGGTTTGTAAAATTCTATTGCTGATACATAGTATTTATCTATCAACTTATGTCTTTCAGCTCAGAATACAATGTCTGCCTATAGTCTGTTCCCTCGAACTTTGCAACTGAGGCCAAGGGTCAGTTTGTAGCAAGACAGCTGATTGGCTGGTGGACGGACATGTGAAAATTCATTACAGTTCTGTAATAATTAATCTCTTTTATTTGTATTCTGATATTTTAAGGGAAACTAACTATTCTGTTTTGATCTCTGACAATTTCCACACTTGGGGAAACAAAAATTAGCTTGTGAAATGCATTGGTAATAAAAATAAAATAATGAGAACAAGAAAAATATTACATCATTTCAACAACAACTTCCACCCGTGACATCACCTGTTCATCATGTTTGTGTTCCCTTTTTTAATGTGTTTTTATTACCAGGGCATTTGATGAGTTGCTTTTTGCTTCCATGTGTGGAATTTATGGATTAAATATTAAATACAGTACTGTACTGCATCAGGAACTGTGGTGACTATCCACTGGCCAATCGGCTGTCTTGTTACAAACTGACCCTAGGCCTCAGTTGCAAAGTTTGAGTGAAGACTAAATAACATATCCTAGCCTAACGTGTAATAGATTTAAACTCCCTGAACTTTTATGAGAGATATTATTTTACAGTAGATGGTCCCATCCTGATTCTTACCTTTAACCTGTCATAAACTCTCCCTCCAGAACCAAGTTATTTAGCTGCCTAGTATATTACATAAGAGATCTCATATACAGTACAGTATTTCATTGTATAATGTTTAAACAGTATTGTAAGTACAGTATCTTCTAACCCGACAAAAATTCATCATGGACTTTCCTGCATCAGGTTTACGTTTTGTTTCAGATGTATCACAAAAGCATCGTAGTCTTGATGGACTGGGTGTGCTCCAAGGTGTAGTCCCTGTTGCCCGGTCTGGAGGAGTTACTGTCACACTTGGTGGGGGAGGTGGGTCAGGTGAGAAGCGTGGGCCTTTCACTCGGTCTGTATCCCTCACCTTCCCTTCAACAAATGAAGGTTCACCCACCAAGGTTATTACTAGTTATAACAAACAAGTGAGTATCTCATAGTGGACTAATTTTCCCCCCTCCCCAAAAAAGATTACCAAAATTTAGTTTAGTGGGGAATTATAGAAAGTATAAAGTACAGTATAATAGAAAAAAGAAACTTACAACAGGGAATGAGTAAGAGGAAGAATTTTCAATACTATCAGAGAAGAGGAAGATATTTTCAAAATTTGCAGCACATCTGAGAAAACTTATATTATTGTTGGTTCTACACTGACCATCCTGTACAGCACTGTACAGTACACTGTTTCTCGCTCCTCTTTGTTGCAGTTACAATCTCTTCCGAGCTTTTCATTCTCGTTCAACTCTATTTACTCCTCCATAGTAACACCCATCTCACCTATCCTTTTCTCTTATGTCTTCCTTTTCCCATTTTTGCTTCTTACATGTTCTTGTATCTCTTCATTATATCCTTGTAGGTTACACAGTCCTGTAACACACAATCATACTCCTCAACACATGTTCTTAACCTCTTCAGTTAACACCTAAAACATATCTACCTTTTACAGCTCTCACTGACAAATTTATTTAGCTTAGTTTAGTACATTGGTGTGTGGTTACACACACACACACACACACACACACACACACACATATTTTGATTGATTGGTTGAAGTAATGGAGCTTTTACATTTCTTGTTTGAGAAACAAAAATGTAAATAAAAAAGGTGAATTTTGTTGCCGCAGTCATTTAACATTTTATTGCCACAGTCATTTTAAGTTAAATCATTTTATTCTGAGATATTAAGGGAAATACAATACAATATATCTGTACAGTAAACACTTCTACTTTCATTTACATGAAGCATCTGAACCAGAATTATTTCATATGCATCTGGTAGTGAAAGAATCAGGAGAGATCAATCTTTTAAGACGTACCTTTGTTTATGTTCAGGAAATTCACATTGAGATATTAACCTTGGTGGGAAAAAGGGAAGTTCATCTAATTTTTGCACGTTTTCTCTGCACCTGCGTTCAACCACTGATGTACATTAGAGATTGAATATGTTTCAGATGTTTCCACACAATTTTCATGCACATTCAAAAGTTATAAAACCAGCACAGTTGAGTTTTTATGACACCATCTGTGATACTGTTGTGTTCGTTCAGTTTTTACTCTTCCTCACTTAATGCCAGCTGTAGTATCTGCACAACTAAACTACACAATGACATCATGAAATGCCTCACAGATAAGGTTTGATTCCTGGAAAAACCTGCCTTAGATGCTTCTTTCATTGTCATTATCTTGGATTTGGATTAAAAACATTTATTTACTTCTTTTTTTTTAATATAAAAAAATTGGTACAGTATTTAGATAGTAGGAATAAATTATATTTTTTTTCATGTATCATAGATTCAGTATGAAAGGTAAAATAGTTGCCACTTGCAATATTTCATTGATGTCATTTGGGTTGAAATTTTAATCAAGCTCACTCTCTTTGCACAAAAGTAGTTCCATTAAAGATAACATTATTTAGCTTGTAAATTGTGTCTTGGTGTATTACAAGTGTGAGCCTAAATATTCAGTGAATTCAGTAACTGAGCTTAACTCATAATTGTGGTGTAGGTTGACAACCCCTTATCCAAAATTCCGAAAACCTCTGAAAACCGAAAACAAAATTTAGTGGAGCAAAACATGCTTTTTTGGTTCGTCGGATTTTTTATTTTTTTTATTTTTTTATATATATAGGGATCAGCCCACCCAGGCACAGGTCACTGACCCACATCAGGGTCTGGGGGGTAAGAATGTAATAATAATAATAATACAGTAAAGCCTCAAATAATGACAGTAATGTGTCCTCCAAAATTGCAGTGTAAGGTGAATCGTCTTATCACGAATCATTAATTAGCATTAAAATAAAGCAATAATAATGAGATGTGTTCCCAAGTGTGACCTTTTCATATCTTTTGTGTGGCTTTTTACCCTCTTTTTCCCCCCAAAACAAGACAATTAATGAAAATTGCAAACTATATTCTTTAAATGATGTTTCTGAATGCACCTTATACAGTACAATATACAGTAAATGAATAATAATATGGTCACACAAGAGGAGATGGGATGCCATTGTTTTCATTTGTGTTTACAGCCGGGAGTCCGGGACGATAGTTCTACACAAGAAAATTGAGAAAATATGACCCTGGTTGTAGCTGTAGTAAAATTAATGTAAAAAAATGAATAAATTTGTTTTAAGTAATGTTATTTAATGTTAATAAATTAAACAATAGAAGTAACTAACCACTAATGGTAAAGAAAAAAAATTGAGATGGATTGGGAACGCCAACATCTACGTACGTGAGCATTTAAGGATACCGCGTCATTTATCTTTTTAAGAATATGGACAAAAGATTCATTATTGTTGTTTACTGAATATGTATTTGATTGAATTAATCTTTATATGTGCGAAATGAACAATACAATTCATTAATAATACATAGAATATTAAAACACACAAGAGGAGAGTAATGTACATTGTACAGTATTGCCCAATGCAAATTTATGCAAAAACAGCACCAAGTGAGGGTTCAACCTTGTACAATGGCAGAGGACTATGAACTAAGTGTGTCATGATGCTAGGCTTTTAGGATGCATCAGTCTATCACAGGCATCCCATGCAGTCACATTAGCCAATTGCAGGACACAAACCTATGGCTCAAGTTACCCAAGCAGCTAGCTGATAGCCCACCCAGTCACCTGGAACCTAGGGATGTGTTGCAGCATGATGCAATGTCTCTAAACTCCCAAAATATTTGTTCCTAGGCCCCGAACAGAGAGGTTTGGAGAGATTTTTTATGAAATTTTTTTACCAACAATGAGGCTGATTTTCATCCGCGGAAACTCATTCCCAGAATCAGAATGGACAGAATTCTCCCAGAATTTTTCTGGCTCGATTTCAATTCCAGCTATTTAAGAGTTCCGGGGACCAGAATTCCAACTACCGGGAAGATTACTGCACTTTGCTTATTTGGGTGTAAGATGTGTAAGGTATTGTAATATTCATAAATTAAAGATAATATTGTATAGGAAACCACAAAAATGAATAATTTCTCATTTTCAGGCATCTCTACAAAAAATAAGCCCAGGTAAAAAGTCTTCACATGCTGTCTCATCTGTCAATGGGCTTACAAACAGTAGCATTGTTGGGCGTGAGGCCATGTATAGATCTCCAGCAAAATACTCTAATGCTATGTACAGTAGCAAACCCTCTCATCCACTGTTTGCAACATATTCTCAGCATGCTACAATATCATCTGCAGCATATAGGGAGTTACGGCAGGGAGTCAAGTAAGGAAATATTATAGGAAAATAGTCAAAGTTGCCATGAGATTAGTTATAGTATACATCATGATTAAGGGGAAGATGCAGCTCATAATGGTAAAAAATAATGATATTTGAGATTGTTACAGGTACAGTACTACTTATTTATACAGGTAAATTGATGGACCTCTAAATGTATGTGCTGTAGTATTGAAAATATCCAACAAATAAGATAAACCTTACAGTGTGAGTGCTGTACAGTACAGTACATGTTTACACACACACACATATATCATATATATATATATGATTAAATACTCATTACTTTGGTGCAATGTCAAATTTTGTCAGTGAGCAGTTTACTAAGTACGGGAAGTTTGGTTTCAACAATTAAAATATTTTTTATCCATTGCCAATAAACCACACAGGACTCTCCAACTTTGATGAAGACTTCTGCCTGTACAGGTGTGCAGTATTTTGGATGTTAAATTATTACACCATTATGGTATACTGTACTGAAGTATATGCTATTCTTAAGTACTGTATGCAAATTGGAACACTGAATAATGTGCCATAGAGGATTTGTGGATAGATAGAGAAGTAATTACTGTAATCATTTACTAGTCTGTCCAGGAGTGGGCACTACACTGGCATTTAATTTATTGTATATGTTCATTAGTTAATGACACTTATGAAGATGATTAATTGTGTATAACATTTGCATTTGTCTTAGTATTATATATTAAGAAAATTTATTTCAGGGTTTTAGTTATTATTATGTGTTAATTTGAGGCACAATCAGATTACGGTACATTTACCATCATGGTTTATCATTGCTTCGTATTCTGGCTCCTGTATGTTACATAAAAGCAATATAGCCCTCCACAAATTTTTATTTTCAAGTCTTTAGCCAACATTTTGATGTGCTACACAAGGATCTCAATAATACAGTACCGGTATGTGGAATTAAATTAGTGTTGTACAGTTCTCATAAAGTACCTCCTTGATTTTGGAGTGGTTTTCAGTTCTTCAGCAGAAGGCTTTATGGAATCATACTTAAACAGACTGATATTTCTTACTGTGGAGTCTTCCACGTAACTTACTGAAGGGGAAGGTCATGTTAATACATATGGTAGTTCTATAATAATCAAAAATATCTTTAACCTTGTTTAATTGGCAGTTTACTAATATCCATCAGTGACATAGTTTACTTACAAAGACTCTTTAAAAATATAAATTGGAGAACTACATTACACATTTATGTATCTTATTTAACATGGGTCCATGGTGAATCACAGTAGATATCAGTAATTGTCTCCGTGTTATTTTGCTGATTCAATTTGTAGCAGTTAAATTATAATGGCCTATCACTTTGCTGTAGCTATAGCCAGTGTACAACATTATTTAAATTCAGTTTATGACCTGTTGACTGTTTCATGCTGTGTGTAAAGTGGACCCCACAGGACCACCTCCACACCCTTCCAATATTAACACATATCTGCAGCTCTTATCAACAGTGGTCTCTTAGTTTGATTCTGTTTCTCCCTCATTATGTGCATGAAATTTGAGGCAGGATGAGTATTGGCATTCATGATACAGAAAGATTCAACTTGTGAGCCATGGAAATTGCTCAAGCTGCCAATTTGGATACATTGGGTTATCTTCCTGATGTATTAGCATGATGATTTTTCACCTCAGGCAAGTATCAGTCTCAATAGCCACTAATAATTCTTGAAATTCTGCTGGTTTTTACACATGTACAATCATGAAATTCAAATATAATGAACTAGAATTTGTTTAATTTTGTCCCAAATTAGTCAGCACTTCACATTATATGTACAGTTGGGGTCAAAAGTCTTGAACACTTGACAGTATTTAGCATGTAAGTACCCGAAGATCTTAGGTATTAAGGAGAGTTTTATCCCATTTTGTTGTTCAGGCATAGTATGTGATGACAAGTAGTGTTATTAGTATATCCCAATCATATACCGGTATGTTAACTCAACTCAGAAGTAGATGCCAGATATATTGCTAAGTGTTCAAGACCTTTGACCCTGACTGTACCTAATGTGCTATTTTTCATATTTTGTTAATTCTATCGGCATTAGAATGGCTTTTCATACTAGGTCACAAGCTATAAACATGTTCCTCGTTCCATTCTTATTTTTGTGAAAGCCGAGGCTACATAACCACTCTTGTAACAAACCATTCAAATATTATACATTTTGTCTTGTGCTAATACGTAGGTATTTACTTTAATATCTATGATGTACAATAATTTTTTAAGTTTGGTATCCCTCATTAATGATGGGGATGTGTTCTTGAAAACCTAACATTAAGTGAAGTTATCACTAAATGAGGGAAAGCGAGGAATAATATCCGTGGAGATGGCGTGTTGCTATTGTTACGTGTAATGAAACTATAAAAGTTGTCAAATAATCATTGCAATACTTTAATGTAGCTTAGAAAAAAAGAAAAGATATACAAATGATAAAATATGAAAAATTAAGAGCATGAGTGAGTATGTGTGGCGAATGATTGTATGCGTGGGCTCGTGGAGGCAGTTGATTGTAACTGTGTTGCCGACCTGCCACTCATAGTGGGTGAGGCTGAGCTGTGAACTATGTTATGGTTATTTTTCAACTCTTACTTTTGGGTTGATATACGTTTTTGTTTTTTGTTTTTTTTTACCTGTTACATGCACACAATTTTTCATATGGAATGAGCAAAAAACAAAATATAATTATCCTAAGGTCAAAAACATAAATGGAATAAACAGATCTGGGAAGGGAGGGGGTAGCAGAGTGGGGGATCTCAGCTGTTCACTGTGTCTCGTGTGTTGTGAAATGTTTGCCATATGGCAATGCAGTATTTTTTCTTTGATTTCTTTTATTTATTCACCCAGCTGACTCAAGAGATGTGTGTGGCTGCTGCGCTGTATGCCATGATGTCACTTAGGGAGTAGAGAGAGTGTGGCTGGTCTCAGTTATAGCTCACTGTCTCAATACAAAGGTTCACTTACCACATATACACACTCATGCTCTTCATTTTTCTTATTTTACAGTTTTATATTATGTTTTCTCTACAGAAAAGCCTCGAATAATGACGGTAATGTGTGTACTCCAATACTGCAGTGTAAGGTGATTCGTTGTATCGTGAATCATTAATTACCTTTAATAGAAAGCAATAATAATGAGATGCGTTCCCAAGTGTGACCTTTTCATATCTTTTGTGTGGCTTTTTACCCTCATTTCCCCCAGAACAATAAAATCAGTGAAAAGTGAAAACTATATTCTTTAAATAATGTTTATGAATGCACCTTATACAGTAAACCCTCGCTGTTTGCTGGGTTAGGCTCCAAGGAATGGCGTGAATTGGCAAAACCACGAATAGCAACTTAAACTACCTAAGAGCACTAATGTATACCTGTACTGTGTATGAGAAATTTAAGACACTCATACTACTTACCTTTGTATGTGGAAGTTTGGAGCTTGATGAAATGGTGTACTGTACATAAGGAGAAATCTGGTTACTGAAGCATAGGGAGATCATCAGGATCACTGTTGGAAGAGGGTGATGCAGTGGTGGGTGGTGAGGTGGCTGGGAGGAGGGTGGTGGAGTGGTGGCGGCAGCTGACTGAGTGAGACAAATCAGCTGAACGTGTGGCTGGTTCTTTCTTGAAAAAACATAGAGATTGGTAGTTGTTTCCTCTTGGCTTTAAGGTCTTTTAAACATTTTCTGGTAGGGAAATAATGCCTTGTTGATTTCTTGTGACCAAACAACTGACCAGCTGCGGCAGCACTCGTCCCCTCCTTTAACTTATCTAATACTGTAATTCAACTTTCATTGTGAAGGTCATCATTGACTTCTGCCTTTTATGTTTCACTCCACTAGCATCACTAGCACTGATGCTCGGCAGTCTTTTAGGGGCCATTTTCACACAGAAACACTGAAGTTTTGATAATACAACACAAGAGATGCTGCGTCGTAGGCATTGGTTGAGTGCAAAGAGAAGGAGAAGAGACACTGTGGGCGTGTGGGGTGACTAGTTGTGCTGCAAGAGAGGCTCTTAAGCTAGCCACCATAGCCACTATCTGCTTACCGCGAATCGTCAAAATTGTGAATCGCAAGGGTTTACTGTACAATATAAATCAATAATAATATAGTCTCAGAAGAGACAATGGGATGCCATTGTTGTTGTCAGTGTCTATATCCATGATGACAGTTCTCCATCTGAAATCGAAGAAAATAAGATGGTTGTTGCTGCTGTAAAATTAATGTAAAAAAATCTGTGTTTTAAATACTGTTAATTAATGTACTGTACAGTAGAAGTAACCACTGATGGTAAAAAAAAAGTGAGATGGATTGCGTAAGGACATCATATGTACCTACACTCATGTGAAAACATAGCATCATTTATCTACATAGGAATATGGAAGCAACACTTATTACTGTTCATGCTTATGAATGTAAAACAGAAATTCTACTAACCAATGTTGTCATAAATTTGTGAGATAGGGAGGTAAGGGTAATCTGTTAGTGTTTTTGTGTTCTGCTCGTACTCTTGTTCAAGTTGCATCAGTTCTTCATTTGTCAGGTGTTCTCCGTGACTGTTAAATAGCTCCTGAACATTCTTTTCATCAACTGAGCATTTTCTTAATTTTTTCTTCATTCTTACAGATAGTTTTCACTGCTGATTCTGCCATCCCCAAAGCATGTGAAATAGCCAAAGACCTCTCACCTATTTTCATATTGTTTCAACATACAGTATGTAGTTTCTTGGCTAAGCTTATACTCTTTGTTTTAGCTTTTAAACCATCACTTGTTCTCTTGCTCATGTTGAATAGGGGCACAAAAATACTGTAAGATACCCGAGAAAGTTTTTCTCCTGTTCCTGTTCAGATGCGTGAAAACAAAATGCCCACTAAGCTGTAACTGTTTATTTGTGATGCTGGCATCACTACTCACCAGCCCGGCAACATTCGTGAAAATGTAATTATATTTGACCTTTCAGTGTATTTTTGACGTAAATGTGAATAAAACACAGTAGTACCCCGATTTACGCGGTCAGTTGAACCCATGGGGTACCGCGGAAAGTGAAAACCGCGTAAAGTGAACAACAGAACATATGGGATTAATTCCAATAGAGACTGGCCAGATCCCCAAACTCCACTTTTTCAGACATAATACCTACGTTGTAGTAAAAATTACATCTTAATTTTATGATGGTATGCACACACAATTAATAATTAAGAGAAATATCAATAATATTAGTTTTTTTAACACTTACATTAGTAGGAAAGATGGCTGGGCACACAGGGATAGGGGGTTGGTTCCGAGGCAGAGGGCAGATTATTGGCCCTCACCTGTATCACTATCCACCACATAGGCTTGCAGGGCCTCTTTGTCAAACCCCTCAAACTCCATATAAGTCCATATCCTCACTATCACTATCACTGACTTAGGCCGGCTGTGGTGGGTGGCGGGTGAAGAACTCGGTAATGTTTTGATGAATGGGCGACCTTGTGCGCATCCTGCCCGCGCCGCTTCCCGCGTATATGAGTAGATGCACCGCGGAAAGTGAAAGTTCGGTTCTGGCGAGGCACCGCGTAAATGAGAAATCCCGGAAAGTGAAACCGCGTAAAGCGGGGTAATAGTGTAATGGTGAAAATTGGATATGGTTCGAAATTAACCAGGGTTTTAAATATGGATCGTCATTAGTAGAACCGTCATTATTAGAGGCTTTCCTATATTCCTAACTCACATTAGAGTACTGTACAGTACTATACTGTATTGAAATAATTTTTCCACAACTTTTATAGTTTCAACATGCCATCTCACAGGCCACCCCATCCCCGGTTTTTCTCCCATCATAGTAAGTCAAGTTATGGAAAACTGAATTTTGACCTAACATTAAACTAGTGTTAAAAATTTTACATCGCTAAACTGAATTATTGTTAAGTGAATTAATGCTAATCGGGGGATAGTTACCTTTTTTTTTTCTCGGTATTAAAAAGTGCCTTCGTATAGAACATTGAACTTATAAAATTCAAGTACTGTACTGTACAGTACTGTACAGTTGCAGACAAAATTCCCTGGACACTTGGCAGTATCTGGCATGTACATAAGTACTTGATCACTAGGTGAGGGGATTGGAATTTTAACATATTTTCAAAATATTCTTTGTATTAGGAGCAAGGAGGTTTAATATAGGTGGAGGCAGCAATCACCCCACACAGCTCAATGGGGAGTGAAACCAGCATGGGCTGGTGGTCGGTATACTGGTAGGGGGTATGGTGCTAGCAACCAACTTATCTTTAATTCTTCACCTTTCATTACTGCCAAATAAAATGGAGTCAGTTTTGTAATACTGTACAACAATATTTTTAATGACACACTTTATATTAAAGACTAAATTATACAAAATTAATGAAATAATAGGATCATACACTGCTTTTCGTGACATAGCACTCTGTGTACATTACCTACAATCCACTGAACAAAACCAACTTATCATGGGTTTGGCGACTTTTAAATTTTTCTGTTTGTGTAGATTAAACATGTATTGTTTTCCTGCAGAGGAATATCTTACTTCAAGGTAGATTTTACAGAGCTGCTTTGATCAATAAAAAAGATGATTGTTTAATGAGCCATGTGAGAAAGAAGCTAAAAAAAAAAAATTTTGAATGACTAATTTAAACAGACTGAACGATTTTCTGCTTATTGTAGGAAACTATTTTGTCATGTGGGTTAGAAGTCAGAGAAGTGATATTATTCCTGATTTTTTTCTTCAAAATTTTGACAAATCTTATTAAC